CAGATTTAGTAATTTAATTATAAAAGAAGAAAAATAAAATTTAAATTGAATTATAAAAATATATTGGCGGGCCGGCCCTACAGGCCGAGCCCAGTTTTTAACCTCTAACTGTCTGCATTTTATATAAATAATTATTTTTTGCAAGTATTTGTATTAATTACACTCTTGCAATAAAAAAAGTGAAAGTTTAATTTCTTTCTTATGTACTAAATTAAATTTTCATTTTTATAGTTCTTAAATTCTAATAATTTTTTTTTTACAGAATGACAGACGATATTTTTTATTTAAATTTAAAATTTAAAACTTTTTATATTAATTATACATATTTTGTATATAATTTTTTTCTATTTTAATTTATGATTTTTATATATATTTTTAATAGGTTATACATGTATATGTAAAAAATTTATGTTAAATATTTTTTTTTAAAAATACATGTATATTATTTTTATTGGTTATACAAGTATTTTTAAAATTTTTATGTTAAAATTTTAATTTCTTTTTAGTAAAGTATAAATTATGCCATTTCTTATTTTTTCTTTTAAATTTGAAATTTAAAATAATTTTTATCGACTATAAATGTATTTTTATAATTTTAAATATTTTATTGATTAATCTATAATTTTATATTAAATAAAAATTTATTATATATATCTTTTTTCACTGCATAAATATTAATGCTGAACTCTTTTCTCACATATCAAGTTCACATAATTTTTCATTTAATTTATTTCCCAATTTTGAATTTATTTAACAATATAAATAATTTTTTTATTTTACAACTTTTTTAATGTTTTTGTTTTTTCATGCAGCATTAATAGGGCTATCAATTATCCATGCAAAAAATAGTGGGATATACAACAAAAGAAAAGTATAGGTCTTTTTACTCGTAATATACAACAAAAGAAAAGTAGTGGGACATTAAATGAGTTGTCTGCCACACAAAATTTTCTAAAAGTTTTCCCATCATTACAAAGTTAAAAATTCAAATTTAAAATTCAAATTTAAACATAAATTCAAAATTTAGAAGAGTTGAAATCCAAAATTTGAAATCAATTCAGAATTCGAATTTCAAAAGAATGAGCAATTCCAATGCAAAAAGCATTTAAAAGAGCTGAGTAATTCCAATGTACAAATCAGTGGGACATTGAACGAGTTGTCTGCCACCATAAATGATTAACTTAATTTTTCATTGATTTTTTATTTTGATTTTTAAAATAAATTATTATTTATTTAATTTTTTATATCCAAATCCTTTCCCACCATTACAATTTGAAATTTAAAATTGAAATCCAAAATTTGAAATCAATTTAGAATTCGAATTTCAAAAGAGTGAGCAATTCCAATGTAGAAACCATTTAAAAGAGCTGAGTAATTCCAATGTACAAATAAGTGGGACATTGAATGAGTTGTCTGCCACCATAAATGACTAACTTAGTTTTCTATTGATTTTTTATTTCGATTTTTAAAAGAAATTATTATTTATTTAATTTTTTATTTTCAAATCCTTTACCAACATTACAATTTGAAATTTAAAATTGAAATCCAAAATATGAAATCAATTCAGAATTCGAATTTCAAAAGAGTGAGGAAATACACAGAAGAATTATCATTAAAAATCTTGTTCCTCTATGATTTCAACTTTCAAGGAATTACTCAGCTCTTTTAAATGCTTTCTACATTGGAATTGCTCACTCTTTTGAAATTCGAATTCTAAATTGATTTCAAATTTTGGATTTAAATTTTAAATTTCAAATTAAACTAAGAAAGGAAAAATATTATACAATCATAGTCAATCATTCTTATAATCAAGTTTAATTTCTCAAGATTAAATCTGACCATAAGACAATCAAACTATTTTAAATGACTAATAAGTTCTTAATCTCTCCTCGAATTTCTAAGTTAGTTTCAAGTGTGAGGGAGCTCGAAATAGGGAGTAATTGAAGGTAAGAATGAGAGAGCGCTATTGTTATTATTAGTGGTAAGAAAGGAAACAAAGTTTAATTTCATAATTAAATTTGATTTCCAAATTTGATCGGACAATTTAATTTGTATTTTCAAATTAAAAATAATATCTTAAAATAAAAAGATTTATTTTTATAAACAACAACGTTGTCTTTGTTTGAAAAATGATGTAAAAAATTTCATAATGATAAAAAGAAAGTAGCTAGATTTCGGTACTATCATGCACTGAAATCATCCGTAATATATATATATTTTACAAAAAAAAAAGAATAATATAGAATCAATTCATAATCTTCACAAAATAATTTTAAAGCTGCAAGTATATATATATATATATATATATATTGTCTTGGACAAGAACATTCCTGTGGAGTTTGGACTATAACAAGCCCTAACCATGTCCTTGATAATCTTACGTAGCGGACACAACATCTAGTTGCTGCTTGCTAAGTGCTAACAGAAGCCCCCACCGGTAAGAACGGTTTCTTCTTTGTTAATTTTAACTTCGTTCATTATTTTCATTCATGTTTTCTCATGATAAGTAGTGTTTTCTTTTTTGTAATGAAAAAAATTGAAATATTGAAGAGATGTCGAACGACATGGGATTTCAGGAGCAGCATTCGAACCACAACGCGAACAACGCAGCAACGATGATGCGCGGGAATGTCTCCATGACCCAAAAACAAATCGAGACTCTGAGGATACAAATTGCTGCTTACGAAACCCTCTCTGAACAACTCGCTGAGAAGTACAGGGCACACCGTGCCGCTCGCCAAGCTCCTCCTCAAGGTCATTCCCTATTTTCTTCCATTCATCTTTTTTCACAATTTTATTTTTTTATCACTTATTATTCACCGTAATAAATTTTTTTTGTTATAGTAAGTTACCCATTCTAACCGTTTACATTCTAACCGTGTAACTGTAAACGGTTAGAATGTGTTAGGGTTGTTTCTGTTAAGAGTTTGTTACACTGGTCTGAGGCGGTTGTAACAAATATACTGAAACAAATGGGTGTGGTGTTTTCAGTGACGTCAGAGGTGGTTAAGCCGGTAAATATGTATGGAGGAGACACATCAAATGGAATATTTAACATGAAGCCGAGGTGGAGTCCAACAACTGAGCAGCTTCAGATCATGGAGAAAATATTTAAGCAGGTGACACCGAATCCAGACAGGAAAATGATAAACGAGATTACTGCGGAACTCGCCAATCATGGAAATATTTCGGAGAAAAATGTCTGTAATTGGTTCCAGAATAAGCGTGCTCGGTCCAAGAAAAAACAGCCCAATGCGGTTATTGCAAATAATGTTAACACTAATGGCCGGTTGACATCAGGAGATAGCCGCTATCAAATGAAATAAAAGGGGAAATGCGCATTTACTCTCCATTTCGATTTTCTTCTCATTCCTTGAAAGTTGAAATCATAGAGGAACAAGATTTTTAATGATAATTCTTCTGTGTATTTCCTCACTCTTTTGAAATTCGAATTCTGAATTGATTTCATATTTTGGATTTCAATTTTAAATTTCAAATTGTAATGTTGGGAAAGGATTTGAAAATAAAAAATTAAATAAATAATAATTTCTTTTAAAAATCAAAATAAAAAATCAATAGAAAACTAAGTTAGTCATTTATGGTGGCAGACAACTCATTCAATGTCCCACTTATTTGTACATTGAAATTACTTGAAATTACGCAGCTTTTAAATGCTTTCTACATTGGAATTGCTCACTCTTTTGAAATTCGAATTCTAAATTGATTTCAAATTTTGGATTTAAATTTTAAATTTCAAATTAAACTAAGAAAGGAAAAATATTATACAATCATAGTCAATCATTCTTATAATCAAGTTTAATTTCTCAAGATTAAATCTGACCATAAGACAATCAAACTATTTTAAATGACTAATAAGTTCTTAATCTCTCCTCGAATTTCTAAGTTAGTTTTAAGTGTGAGGGAGCTCGAAATAGGGAGTAATTGAAGGTAAGAATGAGAGAGCGCTATTGTTATTATTAGTGGTAAGAAAGGAAACAAAGTTTAATTTCATAATTAAATTTGATTTCCAAATTTGATCGGACAATTTAATTTGTATTTTCAAATTAAAAATAATATCTTAAAATAAAAAGATTTATTTTTATAAACAACAACGTTGTCTTTGTTTGAAAAATGATGTAAAAAATTTCATAATGATAAAGTAGCTAGATTTCGAGGTTTGGTACTATCATGCACTGAAATCATCCGTAATATATATATATATTTTACAAAAAAAAAAAAGAATAATATAGAATCAATTCATAATCTTCACAAAATAATTTTAAAGCTGCAAGTATATATATATATATATATATATATATATATATATATATATATATATTGTCTTGGACAAGAACATTACTGTGGAGTTTGGACTATAACAAGCCCTAACCATGTCCTTGATAATCTTACGTAGCGGACACAGCATCTAGTTGCTGCTTGCTAAGTGCTAACAGAAGCCCCCACCGGTAAGAACGATTTCTTCTTTGTTAATTTTAACTTCGTTCATTATTTTCATTCATGTTTTCTCATGATAAGTAGTGTTTTCTTTTTTGTAATGAAAAAAAATTGAAATATTGAAGAGATGTCGAACGGCATGGGATTTCAGGAGCAGCATTCGAACCACAACGCGAACAACGCAGCAACGATGATGCGCGGGAATGTCTCCATGACCCAAAAACAAATCGACTCTGAGGATACAAATTGCTGCTTACGAAACCCTCTCTGAACAACTCGCTGAGAAGTACAGGGCACACCGTGCCGCTCGCCAAGCTCCTCCTCAAGGTCATTCCCTATTTTCTTCCATTCATCTTTTTTCACAATTTTATTTTTTTATCACTTATTATTCACCGTAATAAATTTTTTTTGTTATAGTAAGTTACCCATTCTAACCGTTTACATTCTAACCGTGTAACTGTAAACGGTTAGAATGTGTTAGGGTTGTTTCTGTTAAGAGTTTGTTACACTGGTCTGAGGCGGTTGTAACAAATATACTGAAACAAATGGGTGTGGTGTTTTCAGTGACGTCAGAGGTGGTTAAGCCGGTAAATATGTATGGAGGAGACACATCAAAGGGAATATTTAACATGAAGCCGAGGTGGAGTCCAACAACTGAGCAGCTTCAGATCATGGAGAAAATATTTAAGCAGGTGACACCGAATCCAGACAGGAAAATGATAAACGAGATTACTGCGGAACTCGCCAATCATGGAAATATTTCGGAGAAAAATGTCTGTAATTGGTTCCAGAATAAGCGTGCTCGGTCCAAGAAAAAACAGCCCAATGCGGTTATTGCAAATAATGTTAACACTAATGGCCGGTTGACATCAGGAGATAGCCGCTATCAAATGAAATAAAAGGGGAAATGCGCATTTACTCTCCATTTCGATTTTCTTCTCATTCCTTGAAAGTTGAAATCATAGAGGAACAAGATTTTTAATGATAATTCTTCTGTGTATTTCCTCACTCTTTTGAAATTCGAATTCTGAATTGATTTCATATTTTGGATTTCAATTTTAAATTTCAAATTGTAATGTTGGGAAAGGATTTGAAAATAAAAAATTAAATAAATAATAATTTCTTTTAAAAATCAAAATAAAAAATCAATAGAAAACTAAGTTAGTCATTTATGGTGGCAGACAACTCATTCAATGTCCCACAACTCATTCAATGTCCCACTTATTTGTACATTGAAATTACTCAGCTCTTTTAAATGCTTTCTACATTGGAATTGCTCACTCTTTTGAAATTCGAATTCTAAATTGATTTCAAATTTTGGATTTAAATTTTAAATTTCAAATTAAACTAAGAAAGGAAAAATATTATACAATCATAGTCAATCATTCTTATAATCAAGTTTAATTTCTCAAGATTAAATCTGACCATAAGACAATCAAACTATTTTAAATGACTAATAAGTTCTTAATCTCTCCTCGAATTTCTAAGTTAGTTTTAAGTGTGAGGGAGCTCGAAATAGGGAGTAATTGAAGGTAAGAATGAGAGAGCGCTATTGTTATTATTAGTGGTAAGAAAGGAAACAAAGTTTAATTTCATAATTAAATTTGATTTCCAAATTTGATCGGACAATTTAATTTGTATTTTCAGCATTCGAACCACAACGCGAACAACGCAGCAACGATGATGCGCGGGAATGTCTCCATGACCCAAAAACAAATCGAGACTCTGAGGATACAAATTGCTGCTTACGAAACCCTCTCTGAACAACTCGCTGAGAAGTACAGGGCACACCGTGCCGCTCGCCAAGCTCCTCCTCAAGGTCATTCCCTATTTTCTTCCATTCATCTTTTTTCACAATTTTATTTTTTTATCACTTATTATTCACCGTAATAAATTTTTTTTGTTATAGTAAGTTACCCATTCTAACCGTTTACATTCTAACCGTGTAACTGTAAACGGTTAGAATGTGTTAGGGTTGTTTCTGTTAAGAGTTTGTTACACTGGTCTGAGGCGGTTGTAACAAATATACTGAAACAAATGGGTGTGGTGTTTTCAGTGACGTCAGAGGTGGTTAAGCCGGTAAATATGTATGGAGGAGACACATCAAAGGGAATATTTAACATGAAGCCGAGGTGGAGTCCAACAACTGAGCAGCTTCAGATCATGGAGAAAATATTTAAGCAGGTGACACCGAATCCAGACAGGAAAATGATAAACGAGATTACTGCGGAACTCGCCAATCATGGAAATATTTCGGAGAAAAATGTCTGTAATTGGTTCCAGAATAAGCGTGCTCGGTCCAAGAAAAAACAGCCCAATGCGGTTATTGCAAATAATGTTAACACTAATGGCCGGTTGACATCAGGAGATAGCCGCTATCAAATGAAATA